GAGCATAGCGTTCATAGTGAATGTTGATGAATTGGTATGGACTGAAAGATAGCATCAAGACGACACACGTAACCGCTCCCCCAGCGTGCGCTATCAAAAAAGGAGCAAAGGACTTGATTAATAGTCGGAAAACACTTAAATACAATTAAACTTTCATGAGAAAACGGTCATATGGGCAAAATTCTGAAATATGCTTTCGATTCGAAAAAATACTTAATTGGGGTTATAATATTAATTAGTTTACAACATATTCCCAAGATATTTCAGTCAAGTCAGAATGAAGACTCTTGAACGAGCTTTTTTCGGATACCTAAAAAACTAAATTTGACAAACAATTGCCAGTTGAGTAGCATGATTTTTTCTCATTGATTTTTGAGGTCTTCATAAATCCTAATTGATATGCGTAAAGATTCGAGATCCAGATATCATATCGCGTTGATAACTTCGCGAAGAGGAAGAATAGGAGGGGGCAAGTTTTTGAACCAAGTTATATTTGTAGTGACTTTTCAAAAACACGCTCGTTTTAACCTTCAGAGCCTTGAATTAATGCGCTTCGCTGCCAGCCTCGTATTATAACCGTGCCCAATGCACGTGCGTTTGTTCGCCCGTTGGTTGTTTGTGTCCTCCCCCCTATCGACCAACGGCGAGCTCACTTCTCCTGCGTTCCCTTCGCGGCTGACGTGGTTGACGTTGCATTAGTATGCTACTACTTCGCGGAAATTCAAATTTCGCGGGAGGTCTCAGAAAGTACTGTATTATTGTTTGTACAAACTGTATCAGGCTCTTGTATTCTCATAAAAAAACTTCGTCATCAGTGTGTTTTTGTAGACCCGTTCTAGCCATCATTGTACGCAATTGATTAAGCACAAAACCAGCGTTTTCGGCTCGAAATGCTACACCTTCACTTCGCATACCAAAGTGTCCTTTCTATCAATAAATTCATTTTTATGGCTAATCCTACAATATCGTCTATGTTCTTTAAAAAATACGTTTGACCTTTAGCCTGACGGACATCTAAATGTATCCTCCGCCCTAAATACGAGTCAAAAAGTGGATACCCCTCCCCTTTTACCCTTTATCACACAATGTGCCTAAATGTTGGCATATGCATGGACTCACGCGCTACAGGCCAACAAAATTGCTCCAAATGACTATGGTTAAAATAGTTCAGTAGGACTCACGTGAGGAAAATAGAGTTGAGAGAGCCAGAATAAAGGCAAGTAGGCTGAGGGAATAGAGGAAAATGCAACAAAAGATGATGCTGGGGTCTGAAAGATTGAGCATCCGACCGCCAACGCCAAAGTCAACACACAGGGCTGCCGTAAGAATCACCGAGGAAACAGCAAACATGAAGGCGAAAGTCACGAACCAGGAGATCCAGTAGGTTATTGAACTTGCGCCCAACATGTGTATTGTCTCCTGTGGGGCAAAAGGGAAACAACAGTAGATGAGTGGAGCAAAAACGTATTTCTGTGAAAGTACTTCAGTCGAAAACTGGCGCAAGTTCCACTCGCCTTTACAAAGTAACAGGAAAAGTACCAGACGGCAATGAAATAATCGCAAGGGCAGTTGGATGTGGTAAGCATGAACCGCGCTTACAGCAAGATAGGATCGCAAGTGACTGACGGCCAGTGAAAGCTGGGCTAGTCCAAAATGGCAATCAACCTCTTTGAGTGTTACCAAAAGACAAAGCGAGTTGGTATGGATTGGACCTAGGTTGTTGTTGTTGTACTAGCTTACTCCCTTAACCTAGTTTGCCAGTAATACATGGTATAAAATTTTTAAGAAAGATGAAGGGATAAAGATGAAGGAAT